ACTTGGGTCGCGGTTTGCAGCGCTGTAGGTCATCGATATCGGAATGCCTGGCTGAATTGTCTGCTCGTGGAGGACAGTTTCCTCGGACACTGTCCTGGCGAAGCCACGATATGGACTGAAAAGTCGCACAAACTCCTCAATGGCCGCCGGAATCAGGGTCGGATCATCTCTGAGCTGCTGTTGAAGGTCCTGGTGCTCTGACAGATAGTTGCAGATCCCGCCAAGCATCAGTGGTGGTGCGACCATGCCGACGACCAAGCTCTGGCGGATGCAGCCCCTATTTCCACTTCAGCATTTCCACCACACTTTCCCCCTTTCTTGCGCAATGCGAACCAAGGTTGAAAGCAAGGAATCAAAAGACACTTACACTAAATGCACCTCCTCCAAAGTCTTCCCACTCGCATCTGTCTCCCCCAACAAGCTACTCGCCGGATCCTCCTCCACATCCCTTGGATTCGCCATCCGATCAGCCAACACCCCCCTCGCAATCTCGTACAACTCCCCGCTATACCGCGTCGTACTCTCTCCATCCATCCTCCTCCACGCATCCACCCACGCCGATGCCGTCCGCGCAAGCTTCGGTGCCGTTTCCGGTTCGAGGTTCAACCATTCTGTCTCAACCCATGCTGCGTAGTCCGCGGCGAAGTCTGTGCAGATGTCTCCTTTTCCCTTCGCAAGTAAAGGAGCCAGAAGTCTTTCTGCGTGTAGCTCTAAGGGCACCGCTAGCCGTTTTACCCGGGCGGGTTTGAGTGTTCTGTCAAGGGCAGTACGATAGGGTGTATGAGCTGGCGCGTCGAAATTCAAAGGGGGGCGTCTTAGACCGCGGGGATCGGAGGGAATGACGGCCTTGACGGATGAAATGAATGTTTCGGAGTCAAGGGCGGCGGTTTTGATGTCGTCGTAGCGGGTGAGGAGGTAGTAGCCGGAGTACTGAGTTGTGTAAGCTAGGGGGCAGGAGTGGCGGAAGAGATCGTATTCAGAGTGGATGAGGGAGATGTTATCGCTGATGATGGCAGCGGAGGAGTCGATGCGCTCTTGGGTGAAGATGGTTTGGGACGAGGGGTTGAACGGTGGTTCGTCAGGAGGGATAGGGGTATCAGGTGTGGCCAGGGACCAGGTTGCAGTAGCAGATGCCATCATGTTGGGCGTTGCAGGGTACGCTGGATGACACTGGGATGAGTTGTTGATGTCGCAGGTGTAACACTGAATAAGAAATAATGTCTGGGTTTGGATGGCAGTGTGGTGTCCACGATCTGCACGGCTACCGGGTTGGTGGACAAACCCACGCTCATAGCGGCGGGATGTGGAGGGCATGGGACGGTCCACCAGCAATTGTGGTTGGGTGAAGTGTCCTATCTCTCGCATCCGATCTTACTTGCCGGTATTTGCAGTTGGCGGGGAACCCGGTGAAGTTGCCCGGGACAAAAAGCCGCGAAGCAACTTGATAGGGCCGCTTGACAAGAATATACCCCAACTTGGAAATCGTTTCGTCACTCCTTCGATGCGGGCCAGTCATCCCCTCAATCTACAACCGTTGCACTTATCCAACAGATTCACCTGCTCCGCGAGTCCACGTCAAATTGCCAAATCACAGTGTTGATAGATATTTATTTCGCGGCGTGGGTGTCACATCTCCACCGGCCCAACTTATCCGGCCGAGGTTGCGCGTTCTGCTGGCTGCATCAAGTTGATGCCATGACAACATTGAAGCTTATAGCTGGGCATTGCCTCCGTCAGTTCTGAATTATGTCTCGACTCACAGATCATCGACGACACAGCAGTCTCCCGGGGGTCTACCCGTCGAAACATGGCAACCCCCGAGATCGAAGCCGCACGAAGGGGAGACGCCCTAGATGTTGAGGAGACCAAACGACCATTTGCAGAACCCACTGTTGCCCATTACAAGCCAATTACCGACGAAGAGAAGGGCCTTGACAAGAGCATCAACCGTAAACTCGACTTCACCGTACTCTTGGTCCTCGCCATCGGCTTCATCCTCTGCGGAATCGACAAAACCAACGTCGGCTTCGTCGCCACCAGCACCTTTGTCCAAGACGCCAACCTCGACCCCGATGACATCCCCAACTCTCTCTCCCTCGTACGTCCATTCCCCCTCCTCCCTTTCAATCTATCCTCCCACTAACTAATAACCCCTTCCAGTTCTCCGCAACCTACGTCCCCCTCCAACCAATCATGGTCCTCCTCGGCCGCCGCATTGGCCCCCGCATCTGGCTCTCCTGCTCCCTTCTCTCCTGGGGCATCCTCTCCATGGCCCACGCCGGCATCAAAAACTCCGGAACCCTCATCGCCCTGCGTCTCCTCCTCGGAGCTGCCGAGTCCGGCTTCACGCAGACAGCCTTTTACTACATGAGCACCATGTACCCGAAGTTCTCGGTTGGTTTTCGCATGGGCATGTTCAGTGGGATGTACTCTATTGCGGGAGCGTTTGCGGGGCTTATTGCGTATGGGTTGTTGAAGGTGGAGAGCTCGGCGTTGCATGGGTGGCAGGTGGTGTTTTTGGTGGAGGGGGGGTTTACGGTGTTCATGGCGGTTGTGGGGTGGTTTGTGTTTCCGGCGGATATCAGCACGGCGTGGTTTTTGAATGAGAGGGAGAGGGCGCATGCGGTGAATAGGATGGGGAGGGACTTGGCGGATGGTCAGGAGGAAGGGAATGCGGGGAGTAGGATTGCGGAGTTGAAGAGGGATGTGGTGGATGTGTTGAAGGATTGGAAGAAGTTGTTGACGATTGTTTGCAACATAACCGCTGTGGTGGTGAGTATTTTCATTTGTTTGGATATTGAGAGAATAAGAACTGACATGATCAGCCGGTCACTGCGTTTACGACGTTTTTACCCCTGATTGTCCAGGCGGGTATGGGGTACTCAGGGGTTGAGGCAACGCTGATGTCGGTCCCTCCGTTCATCGTCGGCACCGTCGGGTTGATCATCATCGTCTACTCGTCGGACTACTTCCACGAGCGATCGTTGCATACCGTTTTCGGCATGTTGCTGGGAGTTATCGGGTGCGCTGTCATGGCGGCCTCGAGCGACCCACAACTTCGCTACGGATTCGCCCACGTCTGCCTTGCCGGCGTTTTTGTCGGTGGCCCCCTTGTCGCCGTATGGTTGTCCGGAAACACACCTTGGAAGGGCGCTCGGTCTTTTGTCCTTGGACTGAACGGTTATGCCAATCTAGCGGGTGTCATTGCTGGCCAGCTTTTCAAGACAAAGTATCGGCCGAGCTATCGATTTCCGCTGATTGTCACCATTATCATGAGCGTGGTAGGCATGGCTGGGTTCGTCTTCATTCGATTGATGTACATGTACGAGAACAGAAAGAGGAGAAGGGAGATTTCGACGTGGGATGAGGACCGATTTGAGGAAGAACAGAACAGCACGGAGCGGAGAGGCGATCAGCGCACAACTTGGATCTACGGGTACTAGATGGCGGTTGAAACATGAAGCTCACAAGTTCACTCCCCGGATACCGCATGCCGGCCACATCGCCCGGCCCCCACACCTTGATCCCTGTCCTCGCTCCTTGCGACGCAAGCTCGGCTTGGGGGGCATATCATTGGTCGCTTACGTTCCGCGTATGTCTTGTTGCACGTCGGCATCCTCTACCAACACCCCTCAACGATTTTTGTGTTGGGGATCGGAGACGGAAGACAGAGGGTGTGACACGGCACACAAAATGGGATTCGCAGCACTTCCCTGGGTTCCCGTTGCGAAGTTTATGCCAACTTCATTCGGAATTGCGGCAGCTGGAGTTTTCCGACCTCGCCCACAATGACTTCTTCGACTCCATTCCAATTATTCCCGCCGGCATTGACGTACACTCGGCCAAGACGCGATGTCGCTGCGTTGACGAAATGGCTTGTATGTTGCCCGTCTCAGTTCTCAGGGGCATGATCTCCTCCTTTTTCGCACATCGTTTAATTTGGATGTTATCTGACGGGTCTGAGACATGATAGGTCATCAGGGACAACTTTAACCTGATCACTTGGATTGCCTTTGGTGCATTTGTGCAAGGAATTGCATCTGTGTGTCTACCGCCCACTTACGCCCTGCTCCCCGCAGCTGGCTTCCTGTTGCACCGGGTCCTCAACACGTTGTTCATGTACCTTGGCCTGGTACGGAATCCACATATGGATGAAGTGTTGCTGGGCAAGTTTACCGCTCAGATTCCCGGGCGCGATGGGTCGCCCCCACGGGACCCTGCACAAGAAGACATTACCGTCATCATCCTCGCCGGTCGGTCCAATCAGTGAGTGAGATCATGTCTAACGACCTGAGGCCTGCTGACGAGATGCAAAAGTCCTCTCGGCTCGCTCGCACCCGGGTATCCTAAGCTTGTATCCTACATCGGCAGGATGGTCTCGGAGTTGTCAAGAGGAAAAGAGGAATATGGATGTGAGTACTTACCCGCAACGCTGCTCAGACCTCGCCCCAATATTGACTAATCCCTCAACAGTCCTTGGCTACACCGGCTGGACAGCCCTGACTGAGCAGCCGTCAAACAACCAAGTCATGGTCGTCTGCTATTTCCGCACCCTCGATGACTTACACGGTTTTGCCCATGGCCCGCTTCATCGGAAGGGCTGGGGCTGGTGGAACAAAATCACCAAAAGCCACCCCTACATCAGCATCATGCACGAGGTGTATCACGCGCCCAAGGGGCACTGGGAGAACATCTTCATCAACAACCACTTGACTGGGATTGGTAGGTGCTTTCCGCATGCTGGGCTCGACCACCCACAAATGAAAGGCGCTGACACTCTCGATAGCAAATACGGTCTCCCGTGTCAACATCGACAACGCTAAAGTCCGGCCGTTATTCTCCGGGAATCTTGGCAGCATGCGATCCCAGCTAGGGCGTCTTGGCCGCGGAGACGGAGCGGAGAATGCGGAGTTTGACGAGCCCTATTGATGGATCCTGCGAGGATCAATGGCGACCCCGCTCGACCAGGTTCGGTTCAAGAGCACAAGCATCAAAGACAAGGTCCGCTGGCTCAATGGCAGAGCGTCTGACTACGAATCAGGAGGCTCCAGGCTCGACCCCTAGGTAGATCGTTGGATGTGAAGATCGAGACTATCCGTTGTCTCGGAATCCATTTTTTTGTCACCTCTTCTTGGGACAACTCCAGGTCCCTTATGTGAGGTGGGATAGTGGATGGGAGTTCCCGTCTGAAGTTTGTCTTGATACTGCTGTCATGGTGTCGCGTCCCAGCAGATAGCGGGTAATTACCGTTGACGTGGAACACTGGAAAGCGACTTCTCAATTTACTACCTTAGGCACATGCTGCTTGCAGGTTGTCGGCATCTCGATAGCGGGAAAGGGAGGAGATTGCATCCACGTAGGAGCTTCGACTGGTCCCCTGCCTGACACCCATACAGGACAGTGTAGTCTCCTAACTCAATTTACCTTCTTGGAGTGGACCAAAACTGTAGCGCCCACCGGTCGACGACGCCGATAATTCGGAATATTACAACTTCACAGCGCTCTATTACGCATGTCACGCAAGCAGCTTCGAGGCCGATAAGACCCTTCTCGCTCATGGCGCATCTCCAACTCGACAAGATCGCGACGGGGAGAGCACACTAGGCCGAGTCATGAACGGGTTGCGCTCTGGCTGCATCGATATCCGACTGCTGCAGCTGTTGCTTGACCACGGAGTCGACGTCAACCTCGCCACTAACACTGGTTTTACACCGCTCATGGGCGCAGCATCAGAGGGCCCCATGAAATCAGCGACACAGAGGCGGTGAAACTCCTGATAGAACACGGAGCGAACGTAAATGCTACTACCAACATCGGGCAGACAGCGCTTCACTTCTCCATCATCAACAAGCCTAGCATCGCAGCGGAGCTGCTCCAGAGGGGCGCGGGCCTGGCTATGGTCGACAACCATGGATGGGGCGTGTTGCACCATGCCACGCTTGGGAGTATCAACAGTTTATGAGTCTTGTTGAACTTGCAAACCACTTTTCAGGGTTGGATGTCAATGCCAAGGACGCGAATGGCAAGACGCCACCCCAGTAGTTCAATCAAAGGCAGCCCCCACCTGGGCCGTAGTTGCGACAGGCGTTCGAGCGGTTCACGAAGGCTGTTGAGCGGGTAGCGGTTGACAATGGAAATGATGAAATAGAGGATGTGTTCGTCGATGCGTTGGAATAACAAGAAGTCGACTGTTAGTCAGCGCTTGGCGGGTGGTTGATTCAGGGGTTCGCTTCATTTCCCAGTGACATCTCTATTCGTTGACTCGGACCTGACCCCTGACAGCATGCATCCGGCTGCAGCGGCACAGCATCCCCATCAACGGTCATCTCTTGGTATCCGTAGATCCCTGCCCAAGAGGGCCCCCGTAAGTCGGACTCACGTTAAACCGAGCTCAAATTTGCCAACATCCACGGCGGAACAAAAACCCCGACGGTCCAAGTCGCCGTCCTCGCGCTCCAATTTGAGGTACGGGTTATCTGGTGACGAGACAACACTCCCAACGCCGCACACTGCAAAATGACCACCACCAGTTCCGCCATCCTCTCAATCCAGAAAGAAGCAGGATATTCCGCCCTCCGAACATGCGCCCAGACGTGCGTCGACCGAGGCGGCGACGACAGCGATCTCGAAGGCCATCTCGAATGCGGCAAAACGATCCTCAACGCGTGCTTCTGCCGGCAAGATTTGCGACCGAAAGCCTCGACTTTTCTCAGCAGTTGCGTCCTCACGAGATGCAATTACAATAACCAGGATTTGACGTCCGTGTTGAACTTGTATGATGGGTATTGCTCCTTCGAGCCCGTGTCTGCGGAGACGGCGAGGGCGGCGCCGTCGACGACAGCAACGAGAGCAAGCGCGGGAGGTAAGCTGGTAGAGGCCGGTGGAGGAACTTGACAAGAGTCACTGACGGTGTGTTGCCAGAGCCCCAAGCAACCCCCTCGACAAGTCCAACGGCGACCCTAGCATCCTTGACGGGCCTTCCAGAACCATCAGCAACCCTATCGAGCACCACATCCGCCCGCCCACGTCCAACTCTCGAACCCGATGGGCCAGCACCGCTACCCCCTTCAATCATCGCCGCAATAGTAGTAGGCACCATCGCCGTCATGCTGTGTGTCCTGGCACTTTTGACGTGGAAATGCGGATGGGGATTATACAAGCCTGGAACGCGAGATCCCGACACCATGAAGCATTTCGAGAGCAGCCAAGGAGGGCGAAGGGGTCCTTTTGCGTTTCTCCGGGGGGCGACCCCGTTGACTCCGGCGGGAGCTCAGGAGACGTTTGGGATGGGAGTGGTTGCGACGCATTCTGGGGCAAGTAGTAGTCCTTCAAGTTATATGGACGTGTCCTCGCTTGTAAAGGGGCCGACGCTGGTAAAGATCTAACCTGACCATTCCCATCCATGCTGTCGTCAAGCCATTGAGCGAAGCCCTCGGCTTTCTCCAAAAACACGGGGAAAATACGCTTGAGGGTAGGAAGTGAGAATAACCCCTGCAGGATTCTTCGCTGTCGCTTGTGCTCGTCCCCTTCAGAGAACAGAATGCCCCAGCCGGTGATGTCGCCAACCCACCGAAACATAAAGTCGGGCTTCTTGAAGTCGTAGCAATGTGTGCGGAACACTTCTTTGTGGGCCTCGGGGGTGTTGATCATCAGCATCTCCCGATTGCCTAGGCCGAGATACCGCACAAAGGGGGCGTGCGGCCAAGTGTTCGACCAGGTGCGAAACGGTTCGCTGGGGGACGGCGAGGTGAGGATGCGGGGGAATTGACCGAGCAACGGGAAGCCATCTTTCGGCCCGGGGGTGTGACGAAGAGGGGAGAGATAATGGGGATAGATGACGAAGCGGTAGAATTTGATGAGGCAGTAGTGGACAATGATGTGCAGCAGAATCTTGAGCCAGACGGGTCGCGGGTACGGTGGTGATATATGAAACTGGTTTTCAAGAATTCTGGCCCAGAGCATGACCTCACCAACGGACAAGACCACAGCAATCAGGTGTCCATGTTGAGCAGGTTGTGTCGATTCCAGGCTTGATGTGTCGTGCTGAATGTGTCGTGCTGAATTGGGCGGCAAAACCCTGGACCCACGGCTTGAATAAATACCCAGGAAGCTGCTGTTTGAAGTTTGCGTTACACCCAACAACTTCACTGCATTCGCGGTTTCGAGTCGTTGGGATTGGAAGCCTCGGATGACAGCATGCCTGCCGCACAGTGCGGAGGAAACGGGGAGCACTTGGTGGTGACATACCTTCCTCGACGACCAGATTCACATGCGTTCATTACTGAACATGTGTGAGATGTCTTTCAAAAGCGCTCTGTAAAAATCACAAGCACCCCCAGTGAAATTGTATCAGCCCATCAGGTCTTCAACTCATCCGAGTCTGTCATGCACGGTAGATAGGTAGGAAGTCTTGTGATGACCAGGAAAACGAGAAGGAGGGTCCACAAAGAGGGCAAGTTGAGGTGGAGCATCGCAGATTGCCCCCACGCCAGCTATTTCTCACTTAACAATCTCCCCATGCGTGCAAATTCTTCATGCACCGCAACCGAATTCCATCGACCGAAGTGATCAACGACCTCGCGTATTCATGTCCCACACTTCTCACTTCGAACTTGCGAGACCCCAGACTTCTTTACTCTAGGGCCAACATTGGTCCAACGATTAGACATGATTCTCCGAGCCGGGTCGTTGCTGGCCGCCCCCGTCACCAGGAACCTCACTTCCATCTGGCGGTCGTTCACCCCGGGCTCCTTCGTCCTCGTCAGGCTCTCGCCAAATGCGGCCAAACCCTAGCACGCCACTGCCTCTGTTTGGAATCGATACGATTCCGGTTGTCGACCAATTGTATATGGCATACACCGCGACCGATACAAGGCAAAGCAAAGAGAAGGCAGTCACGGCTCCTCGGAAGCTGGTGTCCATCGCTTCCCTGGTCCAGATGGGAACTAGCAACAGAACCACAGCAGCACACGCAATCAGGACGATCAGAAGCTTTGCGCTCAGTTTCCGCGCCAACCAAATGGTTACTTTCCTGACTGGAAGAACCCTCGATGTGATCTGACCCTCGCTGCGAATCTCGTCTTCCCACTTCCGCCTCGCTTCAGCGACCACGGTGCTGCGCTGAACAAGACGTAGACCGTAAGAGATTGCCAGGGCGATGACCGCTGCAATGACGAAGCCATATAGGGGCGGAGGGTCATCAGCTAGCTCCTTGACTTGCATGCTGAACAGGGCTGCAGCGAAGGTCATAGGGATGAAGATGAAGGCCAATTCGGTGAGGCGAGCGACGCTTTCTGCTTCTTCGATGCCCCTTTTGCTCTCAAGGAGGGACATTTCGGCCAGAAGGGACTCCCGAGTCCTTTGGCTCCGCTGGTTCATGGCGGATATTTCCTCTCGAAGCTGTTGCAAGGAGGCCGTCAACTGCGGCGGTGGAGGCGCACCTTGACCATTGTCACCTTGGTATGGGAACGCAAAGAACTCTCCTAGCGATCTCTCGAAGACCGGGAACTCGCTCTGCAGGCGCCCCAGCAGAGAGCGCCAATGCCCCAGCTGCTCCTGCATCATCCTCTCATCTGTGGAACCGGTGCTGATCTCGTCGAGGATGTTCCCGACGTGTCTCAGAAACACGATTGTATCTTGGCGTATCATCTGGAAGACGGCGAGAAGCAACATGTCAATGGCCGAATGATTTCCCGCAAGAACCTTGGTTGCTGCAATGTGGTTGAGCCACTCATGGACCCCAAACGCTGCCCGAGTCGCCTTGTTGGTGTAACTGTTCAGCAAGTCCAATGCGGCGGGGTCATTGGTCAGTTGCAGGACCGGGGGAGGCCCTCTGGGGGCCAGCCGCCTCGAGAAGGGCATCACATTCAGCGTCTGAGCAGTTGCCCCAACACCGGTCATCAGCTTCATTTTCGGCAATGGGTCGAGGAGAAGGATGGCTATGCTCAAGTCAGCCCACACCCCGACGCGAGTTCCACACGGTTTGTCCCCTTGCGACTTACGGATCTTCACGCTCTTCAAATCGCCCGAGTCCCAATGCCCCCAACAGAAAGTCACCCGCTCTTCCCACGCG